CTTCTTGTATCAGTGCGTGACAGAGCCCGGAAAATCTTGGAAGAAACGTTGCAAAAATATTCTATAGATCGAAACGTAGAGGATTTTGTTCTGGTTGAGGTATGTTTTATGCAGTGCGGGATTTTTTTACTGCAAAATTTTAGAACAACTCTTTTTATATGGTGCTGCTTCAGGAATTAAGGATGTTTTATTCTGAAGCTTTGACCAGCAGTTGTTTCAATGCCGCGCCAATGCAACTAGCAATTTCCCCATTCTTCTCTATTTTGAGCTTCTCTCACTCACATAATTCCAAATATAATCGCATAAACGGGTCCTACTGCACTGACGGCTTTTCTTTTACTGTCTTGACATTGCGTGGGTACCATTCAGTGATCCGTTTTGTCCCTTTTTTGTTTCTAATTTTCCCTACATAATCAACGCTATTCTTCCCCCTGACGTATATCGAAGAAATATCTAATAATAATAATAATAATAATAATAATAATAATAATAATAATAATAATAATAAAAATAAACTTGATATAATAATGACGAAACTTAATATATCATTATGCTTGTTAGCTTATTTTAGATGGTAATACCAGCTTCAACGAAATTTTCTCGATCGTTGAGTGACCTGCGAACGTTAAATATCAAAAAGCATGAGCGGATTATGGATTACGATGAATTTCCACTGATCAATTTAGCTAATCGCACACCAAATCCCACAGAAGAAGTTCTGTTTGTTGTGAAATTGCGGCCCGCTGAAATACCTGTCCGACGAACTCGTCATGCCTCGCTCTCCTCAGCCACTGCGCTATCTGTCGGTTACGCCGATCCACAGCGACTGATCCAACGAAGTCCGCTGATAGTGCGGATGCAGAATCAGTTCGCCGTTAAACCGTGCCTTGTGCAACTAAATTCAGGTAACTTTTAAATCCGTAAATGATATTTTTGCTTTTTACCGATGTCTCATGAATATTTTTTACTTGGTCTTGGCATTGCTATGGATACTTCTGCGTAAGCTCTACCGTAATAGAAAAATATGTTAAAGTTGGAGGCAAAGCAAATAATATTAAGAAATTAGTAAAAGTTATAAAATCTAATAAAATATTTTATAATGGTAAGAAATGTTTCGATTCATCAAACCTTGGGTGTTACTGTGCAGACCTGGACACCAAGGGGGCAAT